TCTGGAGTGCATTATTGGCGAGACCGAACTGCCGGCGAGATCTAAACTGCAAGAAAACCGCTTTCTGTGAGGCATAGCGCTTTACCTTGGGCAGAACGTTATCCTTCACTGAAATAGCACAGGAAAGCGGTACATGTTGTCATCAAACTGTTGATGAATAATGAAAATATATTTGGAGCTGGATAAGGGGCCATTACTAGCTACTTTATAAATTTAATACTTCCAACAATACAAATGAAAGCAACAACACTTTTCAAACGGCATATGCGGTAGATCATAAAAAGTCTCCTCAGCATGTACTTTCACATGTGCTGGAATCGAAAATCAACAAAGCTAACCGAAATAATTAGTTTGGCCTTGCTTTCGCAAATTGGTCATATTATCATTTGTGCTTACCCTATTTCGCTTAAGACGATGAAGGACTGATAGTTGCATTTTCCCATAATCATATGAGCAGAGCTGACGTTTCCATTCAATTTCAACTATGACAGTGCAAAGTGCAATGGTAAACGTGTCGAGATCACATGCTGTGGGTGTTGCCAAGACGAGTCCACTCCTGCCTGTATGAGAATAGCTTTTTGGAAAGCAGGGCCATGTGAAATTCAATGAAAACATGAGCTCTACTCATTTCATTGTGAGAAAATTCAGCTACCAGTCCTTCATCATCTTAAACTGGATAGGGCGAACACAACTCATACATCCGATTTGCTGGAAAAATTAATCAAAAATGAAAAAAACCTCGATCATATTGTCGGGACGACCTAAAGGAACGCACCTTGTCCGGAGTCCAGAGTAGTCCATGGACTTGGTACATTCCCAGACGTTTTGTCAGCATCGTAGTCAGCATTATCAGTGAGACTAGACATTCTGCAACTCGTCACAGAGAAAAGCAAAGTCAATCATGTGACCTATTTTCTGCGAAACACTCGTATTATCGACTTCATTTGTCTCTTTGACGAGTTGTGTTGTGGTGCTAAGTGTGGCCAGACGGAATGACAATGCCGACTAAGATGCCAACGAAATGTCTGCAAATGTACCAAGTTCACGGTCTGACTCTGGCAATTGTCATGCATACTATGGACTCTGGACAGGATACGCTACCCTAGATGCCCCTGACAATATGACCAAGTTGCGAACGCAAGGTCAAACAACTTGTATACAACGAAAAGAGACAGCGATCATACCTGAGGTCATACCATCCTGATATTGATACCTTCGATTAAAAGTAACCAATGTTGAAGCTCTCCTGAGGTTACGATTTGACAGTTGTGCTAAAAGCTGCCAATATGATGTGAAAAATAGCCGTCTTAGTAGGTTTACACAAAAATATAATATCACCTACCAAGAGTTTTGGACAAGGTAGGCCGATAAAATTGGTAGACTTGGCAAAATATCAGCAAATCTGTGAAGACCTCGAATGTATATTTGAGACTGCCTTGACGCCCGAAAGGGAATTAGTCAACATCAGTTTTGAGTATCCTCGTAGACCTCGGTAAAAATGAAGTAATCTTGCTACAGTTTACCATTCATTATTTAGTAAAGTATGGCATTCAGAAACCTCATGCCGAGTTCTAAATCATTACATTATGAAAGTTTTAACCTCGTTTCAATACTTAATTTTGGGCTCATGGAGACTATGTGGAACGTTGCTCCTATTGCCAGAGCTGCCATTGTTATCAAATGTTCTTACAGCATCGGACCGTTGAATGAGCATAATTGCAGACTTTCTGTCACAGCACAATTCCTAGTA